GTGAATCTTCCACTTTTAGTCTGCAACACCCTAATCAATCCACTTGCAATGCCTGCCTTTGCTGATTTGAAGTGAGCCATATCAAGGGGTTTGTTACACCACCTCCTGTACTCGAGGACACAAATTTTTTTGTTTTGTTCTTAGGAAAACACATTTTTCTTAGATTGCCTCCTTTTGTTATTGTTTTGCAAACACAGTTGCATTTTCTTAGTTTTAACTACAGGTCTTTGGATTAATCTGTTCTGTCTGTGCACCTAACAGTAGAAATGGAGAACCTGGTCATGTAACAAAGGCTCAGTTTAAGACTGATGAGGGGGTTTGGGTTGGCTCCATACAATATTAACATCCTAGACCTACCTACTCAGATTTAAAAAAAAATTGTGTTGTTGTTAAGTGCCGTCAAGTTGCAGGCGACTCATAGCGACCCTATGAACAAAAGTCCTGGACACTTCCCTTATAACTTTTGTCCTTTCTCCAGGTTCATAGGGTTTCCAGAGGCAAGCTATTGTGGAAGTGGATGCCAGTCCTCCTTCCAAGCTTGTTTTAATTGGGGAGCTCCACCAAACACTGTCCACCATGGGTAACAGTATTTGGCTTCACAGCATCCACGAGTTACCTCTGTACAGCAAGTGGACATACCAGGGTTACATGACCTAGAAGAATGTTTCACCAAAAACAATTAAAGGCTGATAGGATTTGAAGCTATGGCCTAGAGCAGGCTCTGTAAGCTTGACCCCATCCTTAATTACCCTTACTCTAGGGGTCAGGAATGCCCACTCACCTTTGAAGGACAAAAAGGACAGTAACACACAACGCAAAAGACCCCAGAAACTTCCCTTGCCTGACTGCCACCAAGAGGAGGTGCCATGGAGACGCCAGCCATCCTGCCCGCTAGCCGGCTGGCTTCCAGAGTGGAGGGAGACTCCGTTCCCCAAGCCTCCTGAGGGATCTGAAGCAAGGGCCTGGAGCAGGCTTTTATTTATTTACTTTTTTAAAAAAATACCAAACCAAAAACACATAAACCCAAACCCAGCAAAATAACAAACCGGGAGATCCACTCATGAGCAGCAGTGTTTAGTAAGCTGAGTTCTTTTACAGCAAAGTGACTAACAGATGTTTCCATTAACGATCAGAATGGACAGCTGAAAGGACAAACGGGTCTGTCTTGGAGAAAGCACAACGGGGTGCTTCTTAGAGGCAAGGAGGGTGAGAATTCATCTCACGTCTTGAGGGGATGTTGTCATGATGGGTGGGACCCTGGAAAAGGCATCCGTGCTGGGGGTGGTGGAGGGTCGGCATAGAACAGGAAGATGCTCAACAGGATGGACTGACAGTGACTGGGACAACGGACTTGAGCCTGTCAGAGACGGTGAGGACTGGCAAGGCTGGGGCACCTGCTGTTCACAGGGACACCACACGCCACAGCTGACTTGATGGCACCTAACAACAACTTCAGCTCCCTTTTGTTATAGAGTATTCAGTGACCACTCACATGCTCCATGTTCTTCAAAGCATCATGGATAATCTGGAAAAACGATGTGATCTGAAGAATTAAAAGACTATGCAACTGAGAGAAAAGATTTGCCAATCTGCTTCTACAACCTGAGAAACTCCACATGTTTGCTGTTAGGTGCTGCAGAGTCCAGTAGGATTCATCACAACCATATGAACAACACTATCCTGTGCCAACTCTTTCATCTCTAACACACTCGAGCCGATGACTGCAGTCACTGCATCAATCCACCTGCTTGATACTAACATAATATCCTCTCCTTTGCCATCCCTCCACCTTCCCAAGCATGATGGCCTTCTCCAAGGAATAGCTTCTCCTAGCAACATGCCCAAAGTATGTGAGATAGAGTTTTAACATCTTTGCCTCCAAGGAGCAATCTGGCTACACTTTCTACAAGACATAGCTGTCGGTCCTTTTTGCAATCTATGGGATATTTAGTACTCTTTTTCCAAGACCACATCTCAAAGGAATCAATTCTTCTTCTGTCATCCTTATTAATTGTCCAGTTCTCAGGCACATAATAAGTGATTGAGAATTCCATGGCCTGAATCAAGTGCACCTTAACCCTCAAACAAATGTCACTGCTTTTCAGTAATTTGAAGAGGCCGCTGACTATAGATCTTCCCAGTGCAATATGGGTTTGATCTCTTTACTGATAGTACCAAGTATACTGATTGTGGATTTAAGTAAAATGAAGTCATTGACCATCTCAGTCTTTTCTCTGTCTACCATGATGCTGCCTATTGGCCCAGTGGTGAGAACTCTCACCACTGGAAATTCCCATGGGGCAGTTCTGTTCACATGGGTCACTATGAGATCTAATCAGAGTGACAGAGCAGCAACAACTGATGAGCTTATGCAGTCTTCCCCATGAAAGGGGACATCCAGGCACATAGCTTAGCATGCAGGCACAATTAAATCTCAACCTGCACCTTGAATTGGGTAGGTGAGTTTTCTTAATCATCTATAGACTGGTTTCTACAGCTGAAAACTTTCCTCAATGCACATAAAATATGGGCTAATGACATCGGCAGATCCCACAGAACATCCACCATCTTTGAAACATAACATGGCAGTTAGTTTCCAAAGAGAAGCTTTTACTCTGGTTGGAATTTTGACACTCAGTGACCCTCACCTCTCTCCTCAAGTCTAAGTCTGCTTTATCTACAGTTCTTCATGATGCCCTGAGCCTTGCTGCCTCTCATGCCTCCTCTCAGTATTGAGTTGAGTTACAAGATACCAGATGTTGAAAAGAATTGGTAGCCTGAAAACAACTGTGGAATTTTGCCATTGCATTTCGGAGTAAAAGAGGTGATTAAAGCAACTCAAGTTAGCACATAATCCTGTTAGCTGCACTATAATTACAGGCTTCAATGGTGGGAGAAAATGTTGCAATTACTATTGTCACATTCCACAACAAGACAGATGACATAATTGCTGTCCTGGCTATGATACTTATCCTTTGCACCTAAAGTAGAGAGACCCACACCTATTTCTCAACAATCTGTCTATCTAATAATAATACTTGGAATAAACAAAAAGCATCTGTGTTGGCTTTTGACTGTTCCTTTCTGTACCCCAAGAAAATAAAACAAAATTATAGGCCAAGAGCACAGGCAAGTTATAGCTGTCTTCTTCCTATATTATTCTATGCTGTAATGGAATCCTTTGTAAGACCCAGCTCGGGGCAGGCTCCAGTGTTAAGACATCAAGATCTGATTATCCTCAATGTGATCCTCCCAAGATGACTCACTTCCAAATTCTGAGCAAACGCTGCAGGCTGGATATTTGTGATTTTTCTTTTTTTCTTCTAACATTATAAGTATTTGCTATTAACACACTTACTAGTTCTTAAGGGCAATTTCTAATACTCTCATTTATCCACTCCTCACTTCTCAACATGTTAAAGACCAGGTCTTTGCGTGACAATAGGCCTTACACAAGAATGGAAGAAGACTACATCAGATCACAAAGTGGCGATGTCAAAATCGCTGCATCACTGCCATGTTATAGCATCACTCAACTGCCAGACCATTGACAGTCAGGGCCCGCCAAGCTGGCACATAACCTTAACCAACACAGTCAGCATTACTCTGGTCTTAAGCTTGGTATCAGTTACTTTCAGTCATGTGTTATGAATGTACAAAATAATTGGGTAGTAAATCTTTTCACTATTATCATAAATATGAAATGTCAGATAATGAGTGAATCAGTAAGTGAGGAGGAGGTATATTATGACTTCCAGGGGAATCCTAGCCAATACTCTGCACTGATTCAGATCAGTACAGGCAGTGTCCAATTATTGGTAAACAGCTGGTGTGTAGACAGGCTATACCCACACAGTGTGTCCCTGACTTAACACAGTGTCCAGCTGGGAGTGTCTCAGTGGCAAGAAGTTTCCAATCCAAAGACATGTGATTCAAAGTCACCAGTTTCTCAGCAGGAGAAGGAAGGACAATCTCCTCCTGTGCAATATACAGGCTCTGAAAAACCCACTAGAGTGTCAGTTAATGTGTTCTGACTTGATGCAATGAGTTTGATTTTTTAAAGCTGGTGACAGCCAAAGGGAGATCCACCTATAACCACAGGAGCACTAATATTAGCCATAACTAGTGAAGCAAGAGTGGCATCCACTTCCTAAACAACATACCTCTGGAAACCCTACGAATTTTGATAAATATTGACAGTTGTAGAGGGGCGTCAGGTCTTTTGTTCATAGAGTCGCTGAGTCGTACTTGACTAGAAGGCAAGCAACAACAACAACAACAACAACATCTATACACCTAATGATCCCAAAATACATAATCAAACTTTAACAGATGTGAAAACGGAAACAGATAGCTATCTAATAATAGTAAGAGATTTAATACACTGGTTTTTTTATGAAGGACAAGCTAGAAAGGAGCTCAAGAAAGACGCAAAAGAAAAAAAAAATATCAAACAACTTGACCTCACAGATGTATACAGAACACACTACACAAGAATCACACAATATCCATCCTTTGCCAGTACACATTAAGCATTTTCTAAAACAGATCACATGTTAGGCTATAAAGTAGGTCTCAACAAATAGAAAAATACCAAAATATTAGGTATTTTCTCAGTTCCCCAAAAGGAACACGTGACTAATGTGGTATGTCACACAGAGCTTGACTGTCCGCATGCTCCTGTCGGTATCACATAGTGTTCAACCTCAAAGTCAGTACTGGGCAGTAAAGCAGATGATCTCTCTGCTACACAGCCCTTCTCACCTATTGGCAGGACAGCAGAGCTAACTAGAGATGAGCCGGCCCCTTAAGGAGCTTTTAGGTGTGTTTACATCACTTGGACCCTGAGACTCCAGGACTCTGAGCCAACAGGCTATAGCTCTCCCAGGTGGGTGGATGTTCTGCTGGGTGATGTGATGACCCCCACAGGCTGCCCTGGAAGGGAGCGGCGTGTCCAGCCGAGTGCTAGCTGGAGGGTGAGGCTGGCTGTGTGCACTCACCTTCACCCTGTCCATACAGGCCTCCATCTTCAGCTGTTCCACCGCCTTCCTGGCCTGGGAGATGCTGGTGGTGCTGTTGGCAGACATGCCTTCTTTCATTCTGCTGCCCCTGGAAGCAATTGGAGCGATGGCGTTAGAAGGCAGCTCTCCCACAGACAAGGGAAGTTCAAGTCAGGGAGCCTTTGGGCACCTGCCAGCCTGGTGGCCTAGTGGTAAGGAGCTGCGCTGTAGCTCCAAAGGCATGCGGTTCAAATCCATCAGCTGTTCCCCGGGAGAAGTATGAGCAATTTCATCCTGTGTGATTTACTGTCTCTAAAACCCACTGGAGGGTCAGCTATGGGTCACTTCTGACTCTACAGCACTCAGTAACAACAAGAGAAATTGGCAACAATGGACTCAAGTCGACCAAAGACAGCATGGGGCCAGGCAACATTCACCATGCTGTACTCGAGGTGGCCTGGAGCTGCTGGGATCATAGGAACACGCCTACACACAGACAGGCTTCACAGGAATGCAGCTGTGCCTGGTGGCACGAAACTCAGGAAAAGTGGGGAAACCAGTGAAGACGGTTTGAGTAGCAGCGCTGCTGGGAAGACACTTGGGACTGGGACTATCTGGAATGGGTGCCACTCTGTCTTTTCAGCCACCGTCCCTAAAAAGAGTTTCTCTCCATTGAGCTCTGACACCTAGTGGCTGCCAGGTGCTGCCGGTGCTCCACACTCCTGAGCCTCAGGGACTGACTGGCCGAGACCAGGCAGGTGTTAGTCACAGTGAGCGGCTCAACAAGGACACCCGCCTGGACCTCGTACTGGAGGGGTGTGGAGCACACAACAGGGTTTCCTGGTCACGGACCAGCAGGCCCAGGAGCTAGCTCGGTCACCCACTTCTCCCCAGTGCGGCTGCGCCCACTCAATGCCTTACCCTGCAAGGGTACTTGGGGGATAATTTGTGAGTCAGACTTAAGAGCCCCGTGTCTGAGTGGAGGCAGGAAGGGGAATACAGAGGAGATGTGGGCTGGAAAATGGCAAGGGTGTAGACCTGGCCACACATGGGGGTCCTGACAGCCAGCTCTCACCAAATGCCCACAGACACAGTCCTGCCAAAGATGCCTGTTCTCAAGAGAGCCCCACTCTGGGACTAAGTCACTTTCCTTACCTGCCAAGAGGTAGTGCTGTTAACAGATCTGGGCAGGTGACAACTGGAGGTGGCAGGTGGAGGTGAGAGGCCGATTCAGAGCTGCACGTTGAGGCTCACCTGGAAACACAACGAAAGGGTTGTCCCTAAGTGGGGACAGAAGCCAAGGCCTGTATCTCTCAGGGTCTCCAAGTTCCCATGAAGGCCTGTCCACCCATTCTCAGCGGCTTCCTCTTTAAACATGGGGACCCTCTATCAGATCCTCTATCAGGCACACAATGTGTGAAAAACAGAAAGACAAGTTCCCGATAGGATGTTAAGGAGATACGGACACAACTCCCTCCTGGAGGCTCGAACCAGGGAACTGTGGGCCTGAAACCTCCATCAGGCCCTGCCCCAAGTGCAGGTACAGGCATCCCACTCCACAGTCTCATCATTCTCACCCCAATCAATCTCAGGCCAAATGGGAATATTTTACATGATTTTTATTAATATAGAAATATTTAAATCTATTTAACTCCATTGCTGTTGTTAGGTGCCATCGAGTCAAGTACAACTCATAGCGATCCTTGGAACAGGTGACCTGAAACCTGCCCGATCCCGTGTCATCTTTGTCATCTCCGATACACTCGAGGCCTCTGCTGAAGTCACAGTTGGGGATCCCCTCTTCTCAGTTTTTGGAGGTCTTCCTCTCCCTCGCTAACCCTCACCTTTCTAAATATGATGTCCCTTTCCAAGGAACAGCCTTGTCTAGCTAATACCCAATGTATGAAAGACAAAGCTTTACCACCTTTGCCTCCAAGGACCTCTCTGGCTGCATCTCCTCTGACGTATCTGTTTGTTCTCTGGGCCGTCCCTGGGATGCTCAGTGATCTTTCCTAACACAACAGTGCAAAGGCATCAATTCTTCTGTCACCCTTATTCACAGTCCAGCTCTCTCACGCAAAGCAGGTGAATGAGAAGACCATGGCCTGGATCAGGCACACGTGAGTCTACAAACTGGCATCCTGAGAGGTCTCTCACAGGAGATGTGCCCGAGATGCAGACCCAAACCACCAGAAGATCCTACCCTGTCTTCATTATGATGGTAACAAAAAACTAAAAATAGAAAATAGTATGTGCTGATAAAGTTGTAGAGAAGCTGGAGCCGAGACCCTTGACGGTGGGAATGTGGAATGGGAAAGCCATAGTGCAGGCCTTTGATACCATGGAGAAAGACCTAAGAGACAGTTTTGGTCTCCTTGTTCTGTATTCTGGTGAACACTAAAGGCCACGGAGCAAGACTGCTCTGTTCGAGGAAGCAAGTATCTTGAATGGAGGCTACGCCAGCACCAGCATCCACATTCTGACAACAACAAGGCAGAACTCGCAGGGGGCCCTTCAGAGAACGGCAGTCCCTGCCCACACTAACTATCGGAGGCTGGAGGGATACAAACTCGTATGCAAAGTCCCCTACCGCACAGCCAGGCCACCAAAGAGTAGATTGGGCCCTCGGCCACCACAGGGTCAGTGAGACCAACGACAGTGAGCTCGGGAAGGTTCTGCTAGGGTAGTGCCAGACCCCCTCCTCCTACAAGAAACAAAAGTCTACATGTGTGTCCCCTCAAAGTCGGCTCCTAGAAGCAGCCCCCAAAGAGTATGGATGGAAGTGGGCAACACCCAGGCCTGAACAGGGGCTTGGTGGGCACGAGTTCTCTGTCTGAAAATGTGTTTTGGAGAAAGAGAAGGGACAGGAGCTGAGCCGGAGTGGAGAGGATTGTGCCCTTGGGAACAGCGGATGGATGAGTACACATCTTGACCCAGTGGTGGTGCTGGAGGTGGACAGGCTGACCTCGGGTGCTTTCTGAAACACTTGGGAATTCACAAATGAAATCTGGACTATTTTTTTTTCAAATCTGGAATCTCTGATTCCTAAGCAAACAGGGGTGGAAGAACTATTATAGGAAAAGTACTCAAAGCATTAAGCAATGGTAAGCAAGTTTTCATTGCCTAAGAACCAAAAACTGCTCATTGCTATCAAGTTGGAACCGACTCACAGCTGACCCTCTAGAGGGTTTTAGTAAGGACAGGAGGAACCCACCATCTTGCTGCCTTCTGCCCACTGTGGATGTCAACCACTGGGAAGTGCCCTATTTAGGTCAAAAATGTAACCCCTGTGGACTATGCACGACACCTCTCTCTTCAGGACGTCATGGTATGTGCCAGGACCAACTCTATCTAGCCCTCCAGAGGGTTTCAGTGGCTGTGGATCACACGGGAGGAGATAGTCCATCTTCCTTCCATGGAGGAGCTGGTGGATTTGAACCTTTGGGGTGGCAGCAGAGCTCCTTAATTACTAGAGTGTAGTGTAGGCAAAATTAAAAAAAAATACTAGGGAAAATGGAGAATGTTAACACTCTTGGAAATTTCAAAGTTACCATCACCACCACCAAAACAAACTACAAGATATGCAAAGAGCAAAGAAACAATATCCATCCTAATGAACATGAGAGAATGGAAGAACACATAGTGATGACCAAATAACGGAAAAAATATCGAAGGCTCTAATACAACAGCACAAAACATAACTAAAGACCTGAGGGAAACACAGAGAGCTAAAGGAATAAGGGAAACAGGGCATGGACAGAAAGCAGCATCTGAAAAAGAGATACTGCCACTGAAAGGGAAAAGAACAGAAAAGAGAAACACTACAGACCAATTATAGAGGTGTCTCAGGAAACAGATGCAGCCCAGGATGTGCTCACAATCTCTGCCAAGAAATACAGAAGACCGCTACCTGACCAACTGACTGGAGGACATCCATATTTATTCCCACTCCTCAAAAAGGGATTGAATAGAATGTGGAAATTATTGAACAATGTCATAAATGTCACATGCAAGTAAAATCTTGCTGGATATTATTTCCTATCAACAAGGAACTTTCAGAAATTCAACGTCGATTCAAAAGAGGTCATGCACAGGGATATCACTGAAGTCAGATGGATTTTGGCTGAAAGCAGACAATACCAGAAAGATACTTAACTTGTGTTTTATTGATTATGAAAAGGCATTTGGAGCTCTGGTGGCCTAGTGGCAAGAAGCTGCACTGCAATCCCAGAGGTGTGCGGTTCAAATACACCAGGTGCTTTGCTGGAAAAGGAGGAACAATCTCCTCCTGTACCAGTCAAATCTGATTTGACGGTACACACACACTCAAACACATAATAAAAATTAAAAAAAAAAGAAAAAGCATTTGACGGTGTGACTCATAACAAATTACGGCTATCATTGAGAAGAATGGGAATCCCAGAACATTTAGTTGTGCGCATGTGACACCTCTATCTTGACCAGGACACAATTGTCCAAACAGAGCAAGGGAACACTGCAAGGTTTTAAACTCATGCAATATTATTCAAAATGGGTGATCCTGGAGGACATTATGCTGAGTGAGGTATCTCAGTCACAAAGGGACAAATGCTATATGGTGCCACTGTTGTAGAATGAGGCTGGCATTGGGGTGGGGGTAAGACTGAGAAAAACTGGATGAAATATGTTTATGGCATTGAAGTCTATGGGGGAGAGAATAGTCTAAAAGTATTATATTTTAGGGCATTATGTTTATCGTAAGAGTACGGAATGAGGGTTGCAGAGTGGATTATATTTGGGGTTGGGGGGGGGGTTGGGGGATGTGCGGGGGGGATTGTGTACCAGTGAGGGAGTTTTTCTTTTGCTTTTCAAGGAGAGGAGCAAATGGGGGGACACGTGGGGGGGGCAGGGAGAAGGGTGCAACAATGAATGAATGGAATTCCAAAATCTCTGTAGATGTTCATTGAAATGAAAAATAATTTAATAAAAAAAATCAAGAAAGATGTGCAAGGGCTGTATCCTTTCTCCATACCTATCCAATCTGTATGCTGAGTAAATAATCTGAGAAACCAGACCACATGAAGACTCATCAACAATCTTCTCTATGCAGATGACACAAC